TATATATATATATATATATATATATATATATATATAATTATCCGAACCTAAATATATATTACTATCATGTCGGTTTTAGATTATATCATTCATTTGTAGCTGTTTTATGTTCGGATATGCTAATCCAATCTTGCATCTGTTAACCATAACCTAATCAGATTTGGCATTATTAATTTATCAATATAAGATTAATTTTAACATGTTTTGATTACCTTAAATATACATTTTGGTGGGTATCTAATATATAATCGAATTATATGTAGTAGTATCCGAATCAAATTCAAATCCAAATGTGTATAATCATTTTTCTATAATCAAATTAACCAAAATTTAAACCGAACATCAATAAAATATGAAAATAGTAGAAAGAAAATTTTCGAAAATGGATATTTTTTTAATGAAAACCAAGCCCGAATATAATCGGAATAAAATCGCAAGCAGACATAAACAAATATATAAAAACATATCCAAAATATGAAATATCCACCATTTATTATATAACTAACAGATCACATAGCTACAGCAAACAAATAATTTTCTCGTGGCCAAAAATTTCCATGGAATTAGAGTTCTTCTTGGAAGAAGAAGAAGAAGAAGAAGAAGAAGAAGAAAAGAGAGAGAGAGAAGATTCCCTCTTCTCTCGTTTCATTACAACTAATCCATGAGAGAGATTCCGTAGACTTTCCCTGGCTGCTAGCTGCTCTGCACATACATATACGTGTACATAAACATGTACATGTACATATACGTACATACAGCTAAATAATACATGTACAGTATATACGACACACCTGTCCCCGTGTCTTTTCTATTCAGAAGCAGCCCCACTTGGGGTGGTTCTATGACTATATGAACCACAGCCGATCATTCACGGAATTCAGACAAAGCTTAGGTTTGTTCATAATTGGATCAAAAGACATGAGGAAAATAGAATCTGCAGAGAGACCAAAGCAGAAGCGGAGGAAAGGGTTGTGGTCTCCTGAAGAAGACGATAAGCTCAGAAGCTGCATCCTCTCTCATGGCCATGGATGCTGGACCTCTGTCCCCATCAAAGCTGGTCTTTTTTACTTCTTTTTTCTCTGTAGATCTCGGATTAATCCTCGTGATTAGCACTAATCTTGTTCACTAATCACATGTGGTGTGTATTTAAGTAACTGGGTTTGGATGATTTTTTTTGCAGGATTGCAGAGGAGTGGGAAGAGCTGTAGATTAAGGTGGCTTAATTACTTGAGGCCTGGGTTAAAGAGAGGGAAATTCAGTGATGAAGAAGAAGAGATGATCTTGATCTTGCATTCTTCCTTGGGTAACAAGTAAGCAAACCCTAAAACTCATGAGTTCCATTTTTGAAATAACGAATACCGATATGATGATTAGGTGGTCGGAGATGACGAAATACTTACCGGGAAGAACAGACAACGAGATAAAGAACCACTGGCACTCCCATCTGAAGAAGAGATTACTCAAGTCGTCTGAAAACCCCGAAACGCCGAGGGAATCGATTTCTTCTTTGCCAAGAAACCCCGGGACCCAAATACCGAAACTTCCAGAAGCTTCGTCTTCGCAAGAAGGCAACAGCAACAGAAACTTTCCAAGGCTTCTCTTCTCCGAGTGGCTTTCTTCTTCGGGCCCCGTGGAATGTTCCTCTGCCTTCGAAGATTCCAAGAACAATCACATTCCGAATCTGGAAGATTCCATCTCGAATTGTCAAGAAAGTGATCGCAGGTTTTGTCAACAAGAGATGATGACGATGATGATCGACAATGGCAACTCGTTGCTTCACGACATCATGTTGAGTTCAGAGTTTCATCAGTTCGAGGACAGGATTCTACAGAACTTGAACGGTTCTTCTGGTGATTTCTTCATCAATGGCGACATTACATACATGTAAAAAACCATAAATGACGATTACCCAGAATCAGAATATCAAATTTGTTCATGAATAACACATCTCAAATGTGAATATATATATATATACACACACACACACATCTCAAATGAGATCTTGATGTTCTATTAGCTTACGCCAATGACACACCTCGGATGATGACGATGATGTCACAGAAAGAAGAATAAAATGGAGAGATTTCAAAGTTTTGGGGATGAATCGGATTCAAACGCCAATGAAACTGAGATGCTAATTTCACGTTGTTTCAAACTACTGGATTTTATAATTATAAATAACAGGAATAAAATATATTCATACACAATTACATATTTAAAATATGTAAATAGTACCATAATTATGAATACTAAGTATAATATATACGTGTGTGCGTGTTTGTGATATGATGAATAATAACAGTCTCGTAAGAATACTCCAAATGAAAAATCTGATAAATAATTTAAATGATGATTTTTTTCATAACGATTTATTCTCTTTTGGTTTTTACTTTATTTATAGACTATTATATATATATAAATCAAAGAAAACATATTTTAATTATTTTATTTAAAAAATACATAATTACATATATATATATATATACATATCAAAAAATGTTTTTTTTTATAAATGGTAGTAAATTTATGACTAATGACAATCGATTCGATTAGTAATTGGATCTCTCTAATTGTACTCTAACCGAATTTAACATAAAAAATCGAATTATTAAAAATTTTAAAAATCGAAAAAAATTAATTCTACATTTAATCAAACTTAACAAAAAACCAATCCCGAAAAGATTAATCTTAAGAACAATAGGACGAGGGGAAAAAAGGTATTATGGAAAAAAAAATAGGACAAAGGTGGGCCCACAAAAATCTACAACACGAAGGAATGTAATTAAAGACAGGATGTATTCCGCCCAATTGGCTCTGAGGCAAATCTCTCATGCAATTCCCTTCGGTTCGACAAAACCACGTTGCGGTTCCTCCAATGCAATCCCCAGAAATTCTGATCACGTGAAACCAATTCTTTCCCCATTGCGCATTTCCCTTCTTCGATCCAATAGCCTTCCCAGATTTTCCCTCCCCCCAAACAGCAGCGAGAAAGTTCTAGAGAGAGAGAGAGAGAAACAGAGAAGCCAAGATGGATGTTCCTCAAGCCATGGAGGCCTTGAGCGAGCGAGCTTCTCTCATGAAGGAGTCTCTCCAGAAGAGCCAGACAATTACCGACAACATGGTCGGAATCCTCGGCTCCTTTGACCACCGCCTGTCCGCCCTCGAGACCGCCATGCGCCCCACGCAGGTTAGGTTCCTTCCCATGTTTTTTATGTTTGTTTCCCGAGAAAATCTGGGTTCGCGAGAAAGTTTCCGCCTTTACATATCTGGGTACGGAATTTGAGATCTAGCTTTTAAGGCCCTCAATTTATTGAATGATTTCAGATTCTGGGCTGGGGAGAATGACTTGTTTGGCTTTTGTTGTTTCGATTTGCTTTCGGTTCACTGTAGATTAGAACGCATTCCATAAGGAGAGCTCATGAGAATATAGACAAAGCATTGAAAGCGGCCGAGGTTATATTGGGGCAATTCGATCTTACGAGAAAGGTTTGGTGATCTCGCAACCCTAATCCTCTTATTTGATTGCTTGTCTTTCAAGTAATATTCTCCCCCCTTGTGCTCTCTATGCTTCAGTAGCATCATCTTGCCAGTTTCACAATGGATTTCGATGAGAGGAATATTACCCTCCCAAAATTGGATTTGGAGAAATTCTCTTTAAGCCATCATTTCTTTCGTTGATGAAACATTGCAAACTTTTGTTTTCTGTTTATCATGAATCCGAATGATAGATTTTGTCACCGGGAATGTTGAATCTGCAGCACAAAGTTTTCGTTTTCACTGAAAAGGAAACGGGTGTCTATGAAAAAGTTTGGTTGTTTCGAACCCGGTTACAGGGTTTAACTCATGCTTATCTTTTTAACTTTCGGGTTGATCATTTTCTAGGCGGAAGCTAAGATACTGAGAGGGCCACACGAGGATCTCGAAAGCTATCTAGAAGCAATCGATCAACTGAGAAGCACAATCAAATTCTTCAGCAACAGCAAGAAGTTTATGAGTGTTGATGGAGTTCTTAACCATGCCAATAACTTACTCTCCAAAGCTCTTTCAAAGCTTGAAGACGAGTTCAGACAGATACTTCAAAACTACAGGTCCTTCTCAGGACACGGATTCGTTTCCTTGTGAAGATTTTATGATGTTTCTTGAACTAATTAGATTTTTCTTTTTGTATATATTTCTTGGTTACATCCCTCCTTAAAAAAATTCAGCAAGCCGATGGAACCTGATCGTCTTTTCGATTGTCTCCCGAGCTCTCTCCGGCCATCATCAGATTCGGGACAAAGTGAGGGCGGTGGGAAGAGTCATCAAGATCACCAGCTCAAGAAACTGGAAAATGCTAACGCTATCTTCACGGTTCCTACCGTCATTCCGCCGAGGGTCGTACCGTTGCTTCATGACTTAGCCCAGCAAATGGTTCAAGCCGGTCATCAGCAACAGCTCTTCAAATCTTACAGGTGAACTTTTGCTTGTTCTTCTGCATAGAATTTTAGTCATTTTTCGAGTTCTTATTCACGTCTGTTTAGTTTAGGACCAGTGCTAAGAACCGTGAGAGTATTCTCTTGTTTCCTCTTACAAAAAACCGATGCTCTTTGCTTCTTTGTTTAGGGACACTCGTGCCGCGGTGTTGGAGCAGAGCCTGAGGAAACTGGGCGTGGAGAGGCTTAGCAAAGACGATGTCCAAAGAATGCAATGGGAAGTTCTGGAGGCCAAGATCGGGAATTGGATCCATTACATGCGGATAGCAGTAAGCATTTGTCGAAAACCTCCGATTCCTAGAGAGGGTTTACCAGTTGTTTATCCGCTCGTTCGATCGATGCAGGTGAAACTCCTCTTTGCTGCTGAGAAGAAAATATGTGACCAGATACTTGATGGAGTCGAATCTCTTAGGGATCAGTGTTTTGCCGAAGTCACGGCTAATGGCGTGGCCGTGCTGCTTAGTTTCGGGGAGGCCATCGCGAAAAGCAAGAGATCTCCTGAAAAACTGTTCGTGCTTTTAGATATGTACGAGATAATGAGAGAACTTCAGCCAGAGGTACAGCTTTCTCTTCCTCGAACTAGGATATAAAGAACGAGTGCCCGAGAAAATTTTTGCCCTCGTAACGGTCAAATGCTCAAAGAAACGTAGAGTTGTAAGGGATGTAAGAATTTGTTTCTGGAAAGATTTGTTTCTCCTGCCGTATCATCCATCCATTCTCTGTCCACACCTATACACACACAAATCCTATGTGTATATATATATGTATATGCATGCATATGTAGGTGATTGCTTCTTTTGCCCTTTGGATATTAGATCGAGTTGGTCTTTGGAAGCAAAGCTTGCACCGAGATGAAAGAATCGGCACAGAATCTAACGAAAAGGTTGGCTAAGACTGCTCAAGAAACCTTTTCCGATTTCGAAGAAGCCGTGGAAAAAGATGCGACAAGAACCGCGGTTATGGATGGAACCGTGCATCCGCTCACCAGCTATGTCATAAACTATGTGAAATTCCTGTTCGAGTAAGTTTACTCCAGTTTCTGAGAATTTATCGAATGTTTTTTTTGTGGATCGCTCCTTTTACCGTTGTTTGCTTTGAACTTTTTCTCCATGTTTTTAGCTGTCTGAAACTCGTGTTCTTGGATTTAAACAGTTACCAATCAACGTTGAGGTTACTTTTCCAAGAATTTGACAGCAATGATCCCGACTCCGAGCTTGCATCCGTAACTACGAGAATCATGCAGGCTTTACAAAACAATCTCGACGGGAAATCGAAGCAGTACAAAGATCCAGCATTAACTCAGCTCTTCCTCATGAACAATATTCACTATATTGTGAGATCTGTCAGGAGGTTGGTTTTATTATTCTCTCGAACAATCCCGATCCACAAATAAAGGCGTAAAATTTATCGATCAAAAGTTTCTTTTTACAGATCGGAAGCAAAGGATCTGTTGGGTGATGACTGGGTTCAAATACATCGAAGAATCGTACAACAGCATGCGAATCAGTACAAGAGAGTTTCATGGGCAAAGGTCTTGTCTTGTCTTTCTCCCTCTGATTCCTTCTGCCCATAAAAAAATATATCTTTTTCTCCATTGTTACTGCTTGACCAGAGAGAGGATCAGACAAGATATCGGACAAGTTTTCGACCCATTGATCTGAAAACTATGTTCTGTTCTGCGCCTTTTGCAGATTCTGCAGTGCCTAACCGTTCAGTCTTCGGGTGGAAGCGGTCCGGTGGACAACTCAAACGTATCGAAGGCTTTCATAAAAGACAGATTCAAGACCTTCAATTCGCAGTTCGAAGAGGTTCATCAAAGACAATCTCAATGGACAGTTCCCGACAGCGAGTTGCGGGAATCGCTCAGGCTTGCAGTCGCTGAAGTCCTCTTGCCCGCGTATAGATCATTCATCAAGCGTTTCGGGTATGCGTACATCCATATGCACATGTATATAGGCATATATAGTCAATGGATTCACCGAGAAACGGATTCAGACAAAGGTTAATGTGGTTTTGGTCTGTGTGTTTTCAGGCCAATCATAGAGGGCAGTTCGAACCCTCAGAAGTACATCAGATTCTCTCCTGAAGATCTTGAGCGTATGCTGAACGAATTCTTTGAAGGCAAGACTTGGAGTGAACCCAAGAGATAAGAGCCTTGTCCCCC